AGTTTAGTGAACATCCATCATCTCATATAGATACAAAATTAAAGAAATAGGAAAAAAACGTTTTCCTTGTGTTGAGAACTCTTAGGGTTTATTCTCTTAACAGCTTTCATATTTAACATACAGCACTGTTAATTATGTTTATCATTGTTGTACATACGTCCCTGGTACTTATTTATCTTATAACTAGAAGTTTGTGCCTTTTGTATAGCCACTCTGACAGGTGTGAGGTGATATGTCACTGTGGCTTTGATTTGCATTTCCCTGATGAGTCATGATGTTGAGCATGTTTTCATGTGTCTGTTAGCCATTTGTATGTCTTCTTTGGAAAACTGTCTATTCAGATCCTTTGCCCTTTTTTTTAAAATCAGATTGTTTTTTTGATGTTGAGTTGTATGAGTTCTTTGTATATTTTAGATATTAATCCCTTTTCAGATTTATCATTTGCAAATATCTTCTCCCACTCAGTAGATAGTATTTTTGTTTTGTTGATGGTTTCTGTCACTGTGCAAAAGTCTTTAGTTTGATGTACTCCTATTTGTTTATTTTTGCTTTTGTTTCCCTTATGTGAGGAGTCATATCCAAAAAAATATTATTAAGACTGATGTCAAAGAGCTTACTGCCTATGTTTTCTTCTAGAAGTTTTTTGGTTTCAGGTCTTACATTTAAGTCTTTAATCCATTTTGAATTTATTTTTGTGCATAATGTGAGAAAGTAATCTAGTTTCATTCTTCTGCATGTAGCTGTCCATTTTTCCCAATACCATTTATTGAAGAGTCTGTCTTTTCCCCATTGTATATTCTTGCCTCTTTTGTCATAGATTAATTGCCCATATAAGTGTGGGCTCGTTTCTAGGCTCTCTATTCTGTTCCATTGATCTATGTATCTGTTTTGGTGCCAGTACCATACTATTTTGATTACTGGCACTTTTAGTATAGTTTGAAATCAGGGAGTGTGATACCTCCAGCTTTATTCTTCAAGATTGTTTTGACTATTCGGGGTCTTTTGTGTCTCCATATGAATTTTAGAATTATTTGTTCTAATTCTGTGAAGAATGTTATTGGTATTTGGTAAGAATCACATTGAATCTGTAGATTGCCTTGGGTAGTATGGTCAATTTTACCAATATTAATTCTTCCAATCAGGAACACAGTATATCTTTCCATCTGTTTGTGTCATCTTCAATTTCTTTCATCAGTGTCTTTACTTTTCCAAGTATAGGTCTTTTACCTCCTTATTTAGGTTTATTTCTAGGTATTTAATTCTTTTTGATGTGATTGTAAATAGATTGTTTTCCTGCTTTCTCTTTCTGATTGTTTGTTGTTAGTGTACAGAAAAGCAACAGATTTATGTATATTAACTTTGTATCCTGCAACGTTACTGAATTCATTAATGAGTTCTGGTGTTTTTTGGTGGCATCTTTAGAATTTTCTATGTATAGTATCATGTCATCTGTAAACAGTGACAATTTTACTTCTTCCTTTGCAATTTTGATTCCTTTTATTTCTTTTTCCTGTCTGATTGCTGTGGCTAGGACTTCCCATATTGTTTTGAATAAAAGTGGCAAGAGTGGGCATCCTTGTCTTGTTCCTGATCTGAGAGGAAATGTTTTCAGCTTTTCACTATTGAGTATGATGCTGGCTATGGGCTTGTCATATAAGGACTTTATTATGTTGAGGTATGTTCCCTCTATACCCAGTTTGTCAAAGGTTTATAATCATAAATGGATGTTGAATTTTGTGAAAAGTTTTTTCTGCATCTATTGAGATGATCATGTTACTTTATTTTTAATTTAATTTTATTTTTTATACAGCAGGTTCTTATTAGTTATCCATTTTATACATATTAGTGTATATATGTCAATCCCAATCTCCCAGTTCATCACACCACTATCCCCACCCCCTGCCACTTTCTCCCCTTGGTGTCCATACATTTGTTCTCTACACCTGCGTCTCAATTTCTGCCCTGCAAACTGGTTCGTCTGTACCATTTTTCTAGGTTTCACATATATGCGTTAATATATGATATATTGTTTTTCTCTTTCTGACTTACTTCACTCTGTATGACAGTCTCTAGATTCATCCACATCTCTACAAATGACCCAATTTCGCTCCTTTTTATGGCTGAGTAATATTCCATTGTATATATGTACCACATCTTCTTTATCCAGTCATCTGTCGATGGCCATTTAGGTTGCTTCCATGACCTGGCTATTGTAAATGGTACTGCAATGAACATTGGGGTACATGTCTTTTTGAATTATGGTTTTCTCTGGGTATATGCCCAGTAGTGGGATTGCTGGGTCATAAGGTAATTCTATTTTTAGTTTTTTAAGGAACCTCCATACTGTTCTCCATAGTGGCTGTATCAATTTACACTCCCACCAACAGTGAAAGAGGGTTCCCTTTCCTCCACACCCTCTCCAGCATTTGTTGTTTGTAGATTTTCTCATGATGCCCATTCTAACCAGTGTGAGGTGATACCTCATTGTAGTTTTGATTTGCATTTCTGTAATAATTAGTGATGTTGAGCAGCTTTTCATGTGCTTCTTGGCCATCTGTATGTCTTCTTTGGAGAAATGTCTATTTAGGTCTTCTGCCCATTTTTGGATTGGGTTGTTTATTATTTTAATATTGAGGTGCATGAACTGTTTATATATTTTGTAGATTAATCCTTTGTCCATTGATTCGTTTGCAAATATTTTCTCCCATTCTTAGGGTTGTCTTTTTGTCTTGTTTATGGTTTCCTTTGCTGTGCAAAAGCTTTTAAGTTTCATTAGGTCCCATTTGTTTATTTTTGTTTTTATTTCCAGTACTCTAGGAGGTGGATCAAAAAAGACCTTGCTGTGATTTCTGTCAAAGAGTGTTCTTCCTATGTTTTCCTCTAAGAGTTTTATAGTGTCGGGTCTTACATTTATGTCTCTAATGCATTTTGAGTTTATTTTTGTGTATGGTGTTAGGAAATGTTCTAATTTCATTCTTTTACATGTAGCTGTCCAGTTTTCCCAGTACCACTTATTGAAGAGACTGTCTTTTCTCCATTGTATATCCTTGCCTCCTTTGTCATAGATTAGTTGACAATAGGTGCATGGGTTTATCTCTGGGCTTTCTATCCTGTTCCAATTATCTATATTTCTGTTTTTGTGCCAGTACCATATTGTCTTGATTACTGTGGCTTTGTAGTATAGTCTGAAGTCAGGGAGTCTGATTCCTCCGGCTCCATTTTTTTCCCTCAAGACTTCTTTGGCTATTCAGAGTCTTTTGTGTCTCCATACAAATTTTAAGATTTTTTGTTCTAGCCTGTGAAAAATGCCATTGGTAGTTTGATAGGGATTGCATTGAACCTGTAGATTGCTTTGGGTAGTATAGTCATTTTCACAGTGTTGATTCTTCCAATCCAAGAACATGGTATATCTCTCCATCTATTTGTATCATCTTTAATTTCTTTCATCAGTGTTTTATAGTTTTCTGCATACAGGTCTTTGGTCTCCTTAGGTAGGTTTATTCCTAGGTATTTTATTCTTTTTGTTGCAGTAGTAAATGGGAGTGTTTCTTGAATTTCTCTTTCATATTTTTCATCATTAGTGTATAGGAATGCAAGAGATTTCTGTGCATTAATTTTGTATCCTGCAACTTTACCAAATTCATTGATTAGCTCTAGTAGTTTTCTGGTGGCATCTTTAGGATTCTCTATGTATAGTATCATGTCATTTGCAAACAGTGACAGTTTTACTTCTTTTCCAATTTGTATTCCTTTTATTTCTTTTTCTTCTCTGATTGCCATGGCTAGGACTTCCAAAACTTTGTTGAATAATAGTGGTGAGAGTGGACATCCGTGTCTTGTTCCTGATCTTAGAAGAAATGCTTTCAGTTTTTCACCATTGAGAATGATGTTTGCTGTGGGTTTGTTGTATATGACCTTTTTTATGTTGAGGTAGGTTCCCTCTATGCCCACTTTCTGGAGAGCTTTTATCATAAATAGGTGTTGAATTTTGTCTGGGATGGGCAGGAGAGGAGATGTTTACTTTCCATTTTATACATTTGAATGTTTATCATATGCATATATTATTTTCTATTATAAAAGAAAAAAGTTAAGAAAAATTTAAAAATCATATCAATGTAATTAGGAAGGTGATTCTGCTAGGGGTAAATTTAAAAACATACAACTTTTACGAGTTGTAAATTATGTACTGCTTTAAGGGTATGAGAATAATGATTCCTTCTATAATATTGATAAATTATACAAAATTGTATGAAATTCCATTTGAAAGTACTTGGAACTCTTCAACTGGTGTTATGTAAAAGACGTTTTTTTTTTTTTTTTTTTTTCGGCCACACCTGGAGGCTCATAGGATCTTAGCTCCCCGACCAGGGATTGAACCTGGGCCACCGCAGTGAAAGCACCAAGTCCTAACCACTGGACTGCCAGGGAATTCCCTAAAAGATGAAATCGTGAAATATTTCTCCAGTGTTTTCTCAGCTATAACTTGCACTCACTTTATCTACATGGTACCAAAATTGGCTTTAAATATGCATTTTCCTTCTGTATCTAAAAATAAGGCTAGTGCTGGTGGCGTCTACTGTGCTCCAGGTACTTTTTCATTGAATGCTCATAGTGTCTCTGCAGGGTGGATGGTATTAGTTCTAATTTTCCTATGAAGAAACTGAGGCTGGGAATATTGATCAACTTGTTCAAAGTCACACAAGTAGAGAGACCCCAAGGCAATTCACTTAGCTTGACCTGCCTCCCCATCCTTTTCATTTTGGAAAAAAAATAAAGGGAAACTAAGGGAAAATCATCTGGCCTTTTGTTCTTACCTTTACTTATTTCATGTTTTCAGCAACAAGTTGTGCTTTTCTAACCTTGTCTTATGTCCTAGGAGAAGGTACTTAACAGAAGGCATCACAGGGGTCAGAGATTAGAAACAGTTTGTTAGCTGAATTTTCATAGATGTTTTCAGTAAAACAGAGAATTCACAGCTCAGTGATATTTTTTCCCCCCAGATATTGTGGATGCTTTATCAGATCCAAAGAAATTTCTTTCCATTACGGAAAAGAGAGCAGACCAAATGAGAGCTATGGGCATTGAAACTGTAAGTAGCAATGGTCAATTAAAGACAGCCGAGTTGGGGAAGTTTGGTTGTCTAACAGTGATTACAAGAGCAAGACAAAGTAATAAATTAATAGAACAAGTTCAAAAGTAGTTTTTGAAACTGAACTTATCAATTCAACAAAAGAGTTTCAAAGGTCTATGAGAATGTAGCATATTTAATAAAATGTGACCCACTTCCTCACTGTGGCTTCACTCACATCCGGGGATTCTGGCCCCATTAGAAATGAAATGGAAAAGATTCATGATGCTTTTAGGAACATTTAGAATATAGGATGCTTTTGTGAGACACTGAAATACCAGCTAACCTTATTCAGTGTATTAATGAAATTGGTGTTTACTATTGTTTATTTTTTACTAGTCTTGCATCCAACCTTCAATTTCAGTGCACAGTTGTGGTGTTTGCTTCTTTGTTTTTAAAACTCCCCTTACTCCTCAGTTTAGAATGGAAACGGAAATCTCTCCAGTAGCTGGAAAAAAAGAAGGTATACCCTGCTTGTAAAGGAGCTACATCTGCTTTCCTAGGCTTCATCATTTGTCTCAAGCCTGAGGAAACCATGTGTTTACTCCTGCCAAGCAAAGATCTATTTAAGGAGTAGAGGCTAGGATGCAGAAGGGGAAAAGTTGATGGTACAGACTGGATTCAGTAAAAGGAAGAATGTGCAAGACATTTGAACTTCAGGTGGCATTCATTTGGGTCAGTATAAACATTTCTGTTCCAGAGTGACATCGCCGACGTGCCCAGTGACACGTCAAAGAATGACAAGAAAGGGAAAGCCAACACAGCGAAAGCAAGTGTGACCCCTCAGAGCAGCTCAGAGCTCAGGCCCACCACCACGGCTGCCCTGGGAGCTGGCCTGGAGGCCAAGAAAGGTAAAGAAGAGTTGTCTGGGCTCCTTGTCTCTTCTGGCAATTTTAGAATCTTTGATGCAGATATTTAGAATTGTTAATTTTGCCAATTTTCATGGTTCCATAAATCTCAAGAGCAGCAGGTTTTCTTGTGGGTTGAACAAGCAGCTTAATTTCCCTGAGTGGTTAACAGGAAGTCAGTCTGCTAGGTCCCCTGCACTGTAGTCATACTGCGTACAATATTTGTAGATCTAGAAATGTTTACATTTGGTGTCCTTTATGGAAAAAACATTCACAGAGTGAACTTAGCGAACTCATCCCCTCTCTCCTCCAGATACTACCATAGGCATGGGCAATGAGCTTATGAACCAACAGAATCCTGATTGTTCTGACATTCCTGGATTCCTTTATTGATAATTTCCCCCCATCTGTAGATATTTAGCATCCGTGACTGTTTATTTGTAAAATTATTGACGGGCATCTGAAGGCCAGTTCTGTGTGATTACCTATGAATGAAACAAAAGATCATTAGAGGGCTTCCCTGGTGGCGCAGTGGTTGAGAGTCCGCCTGCCGATGCAGGAGATGCGGGTTCGTGCCCCGGTCCGGGAAGATCCCACATGCCGTGGAGCGGCTGGGCCCGTGAGCCATGGCCGCTGAGCCTGCACGTCCGGAGCCTGTGCTCCGCAACGGGAGAGGCCACAACAGTGAGAGGCCCGCGTACCG